CTAAGATAGTTACAGGATTGTTGGGCAATATTTGCCAAGTGTGAAGCAAATGATTGTTAGAGTGTGATTAACATGGAAAATATTTTTTTGTTTTTTTATTCATCAGAAACATCAAAAACTTCTGAAGTGGCCATACTACAATTAGTGCCTCTGTCAGTATTATTATCACTTTACACAGGGTGGAAACACTTGGCTAAACATAATTTATGCATTAAGTAAAGCAGATTTGAATTAAATGGTCACAATCTTTGAAATTCAAGTTTCAATTTAGAGGGGCAACCAACAGAATCAATTGTGTTACTCCTAAAAACCCTGCCCACATTATCAGAGTTCCCTAAGTTTATATTCTTAAATTTTGAAATTGTCGTTGAGAATTTTAGATGGTGAAGATGAATGATATTCAACTTGCCTCACCAATCCAATATGGAGGCTTGATTACTTGATCAGAATAATTAGTGCTCACTCTCCAAAGAGTATGCCTGCTAAGTGGGCTAATTTTCAGCTTGCTCTCTATTTTCAGATTTGCAAAACCCTTACACCCCTTTCTGAGTTGGTAATAGATGGATTTATCCAGGGGATTTTAGAATCAGTGCCTGAAGATATGAAGAGTGTGGAGTTTACTCCTGAAGGCTTCTGGAGAATCAAAGAGGGCAGTGAATCATTCTTGCCAATCAAAAAGTCTTCTGTTGACTGTTACAGTGACTCCAATCAACAAAATACTGTTATTGATCTGACATTTGATACACCACCAAAAATTGTACCCAAGAAGATTTCTAATGGTGATGAAAATTGTGGTGGAAGTAATCCACAAATTCAAGTCATAGATCTCACAGTGTCTCCTTAACCCTTTAGCTCCCATTAGTGATCAAGAAAGAGTTTCTCCTTACTACATCTGTAAAATATCATGCAGACAAGAGATGAGAATTAAGAAAAATATCAATTATATGATTACTAATTGATTCAATACCAAATTCTCCAAACTAACATGATGAGAATCATTTGGCAGATAGTAAGAAGAATTACTAATGAGATCTTGGGAGTTAAAGTGTTAAAATACAGTCAAGTACCTTTATTTTACTCATTTCAACTTATTTGCTGAGACGAAAGCAACTCACAGATTTGCCTTGAAGAAATAATGATTTTCACATGTACCACTGTATAACAAATATTTTGTGGTTTGCAATGTTTGTAGATTTGGTGAAATGTCACTGATTGCCAAAAACCAACTTCATTTTACATTGTTATTAAGTTCTGAATATTATGTTTCGTTGGATGTTAATGTGGTGCTTCTTGAAAAGTAAATGCAAAAATCAGCACTGAGCAGAAACATCTCTCATGTTGAACTATGTTGGTGAAGTAAATTCCCACCAAGTACAAAGATTGCCATCATGCAAAATGACATTCCTGCTGCAAACTTTTATGCCACAAGATATTTGAATAAGCTTGTTGTAGAAGTTTTTCTCTATTGTAGCTTTATTAATCACTTTAGCTCATTAAAATAAAGATGCAGAAAACCTTTACTGCTGTTTATCTTGGTAGCTCAGGAGGGCTGCATGGTGATCTTTAATCTGGCTGTGCCTTAGGTTCTCCTTGTTGGCAGACCACTGTAATATTTGTGATAGTTTTCTTAGAAGTTTTATGAATATTAGTTAGGTTTTTGAGAAGTCCAACACAGCCGCACCCTTGCCTTTTGGCTTCAATTTTGTGAAAAAAAGTGCGGCTTATACATGGACGTTTACGGT